GTGTCACAATCATGTGGTAAAAACTTATGATTATGTAAATGAATAAAACAAGCTAACTGACATTACCTAGTATAAGCTAAATAAAAGATTTCTTCTCCAAAAATTATGAATGAGTAAAAAAATATTGAACCATCTTAAAGAGCTTTTTTAAAACACAAATCTTGATTTTCGTGGATACACTATCCAACAAACAAAATACAGCATTCTAGTGACAATTTAGAACCAAATTGTTATCCAAATATAATTCATTTATTAGTATGTGTTTACATTATATTTGAACTAATATATATTTAAACCGATATAAACTCAAATCAATACAAAGCCGAACTGATACAAACTCAAACCGATACAAACCCGAACCGATACAGACCCGAACCGATACAGACCCGAACCGATACAAACCCGAACCGATACAAACCCGAACCGATACAGACCCGAACCGATACAAACCCGAACCGAAACCGAACCGAAACCGAAAACCAGTCAAACCGAAATAAACCCGGAACCGAACTGACCCGACCCGAACCGACCCGAACCGATTATAACATATATCCGAAAGAGACCCGAACCGAAAAGACACGACCCGAACCCGAACCGATTGACCCGATTGCCAGGTCTAGCGCCTAGGGTGGGCGATTCCACCTTTTGGACCGGTGAATATAATTAATCTTTAGTTACCTACACCATACTAACTAGAAATTAGGGGTCAAATTTTAACTATTTATTTTGATGGTTTTTTAATATAATAATACCTCCCTTATTTGCTTTGTAGAACTTTTATTGTTGTTTAAAATATATTACTCACTCCATCCCAAAATTTGTTTCCTCTTTTCTTTTTTTCTTGTCCTACAAAAGTTCTTCCTTTTTAATTCTAATAAAAAATTACTTTTACCCTTACTAATTCTTAATCTACTTAGTATATTGTATCTTTTTACTAATAATTTACTCATCACATCTTACTTTTATCCATCACATCAAAAATATTTTTTAAAAGTCAACACAAAATTATTTATTCCTTAAATTTTCTAAGAGTCAAAAGAGAAACATCTTTTTGATATGATTGAAGTATCCTGTTATCACTTAAATATAATCTTTTATATACTTCGTATATGAAGATGCCTTTATATATGCGGAGCTCCCTCCATCCCAAAAAGTCTTTCCTGTTTCATTTTCTGCGCATCCCAAAAAACACTTCTATGCCGCCTTGAATGCCAAAAAAACTTTCAAAATAACCTCTACCCATAATAAAGAAAAAAATGTTGTAAATTTTAGGCATTTTAGATGTCGATAGAAGTGTTTTATGGGATGCGCAAAAATGAAACAGGAAAGACTTTTTGGGACGGAGGGAGTATATACCTTTTCCGAAATCAAAATGAATCCCAAACATTCTCAATATATCCTCCCAAAAAAATTTATTTACACGTCTCGATCATGATTATCGGGTTACAATTTTTTTTTGCTGCATTAATTTTGACCATATATTAAGTTGTTATAAAAAATATTCGTTTATTCGTTTCTTGTAAGTTTTGCATCTAGAAATTCCCATCAATAGCACTAAAAATCTTTTAATATACAAACATGAAGGGAAACATGAATAATATTTTCTCCCACCTAAGATTATGGGCTTCGGGTTGGGTCAACGAGTTGGGTAATAATTCTCGAGTATCCAAATGTGTAAAGAAGAAAATGGTCTATTTCATGAAATGGGTGTTAGGGTCGGGTATCCAAATGCTTTGGGAAAAAGTACTTTTCATCTCGGATATCCAAGCATCTAAAGAAGACATGGGAGACGAAATTTTATGCTTTTAATGCATTTAAGAAGCATGCCTATTGGTATCCGTGCGTGTAAAAAAGATATGAGGAGATGAAATTTTATGCTTTTAATGCAATGTATTTAATGCACTTAAGAGGCATGCCTATTGGGAGACGTTTTTTGACAGCTTGGCCATATTTTTCACGTGTTCCCAAGTAAAGAAATCATTACTACTCACCACTCCATACAAAAAAATTTTATTTATAAACAACCTTTCTTTACAAAACCATTTCTCAGTTCTCCACCATTAGATCTCTTCGAAATTTCCATCTCAATATGGCTCCCAATTAAATGCGTTTTTCCGAGTCTATTTACCAATCTCGATGACCTCCAAAGGGACCAAAAGAACATTGCTATTCATGTATGAGGTGTACATGTCTACCATGTTAATCCTTTTGAAAGAAATGTTGAATCAATGGAGGTTGTGTTTCATGATGATGAGGTATGTGATCTTTGTATAAAAATGCCAATGATTCCAATTATTTTTTTAAGCCTTCGAAAGTGCAAAAGCAAGAAAAGAAAAAAAAAATTAAAACGGTATCGGAACCAGTACCGCCGGTGCCGCACCGAAAAACTAGCAACGGAACCGGTACTATGCCAGACAGTTTCGGTACCAGTTTCTGGAACTGGATCACCGTGCCCATTTCCAGTGGCGGTACCGGGGCCGGTAACGGTGGCGTACCAGTACCGTGTCCACCCCTAGTTGAGTCCAACGGGTCATGCATAATTATGTTATGACCTCTAGATTTATGAATGTAGTTTTCAAAAGACTTGATTTAATGATTTAAAAGTGGATAGCGATGCAGCTTGTTGCATACGGAGTATTATTTATCTTCCATTTCGATGTATTTAACAAGAGCAATGCTATATTCACAAACAGAATGGTCACGAATTTCACAAACTTACTATTTATAGTTTAAATTCTCAATTAAAATTATTTTGGACTATTTTTTTTTATTGAAGTTCAAAAATAGTAAGTTCATAATTATATACTAAGTATAAATACATTAATTAGTTAATTACGTAATTTAAAATTCATGTCTAATGCTTTCGCTAGAGTAAGTATATGGTACAACCGGCTATACTTAGAGATAGGTACATCTGGGTAGTACTCATTCTGAAGTTAAGTGGTACGCATTCTCGCACAAACATAACAGTTCATTTGAAATAGCGTGGTACTCATTCTAAAATAATCCCGTACTCATTTTCACACATTTGTACAATATTCATTTACGAATAACGTAATACTCATTCTAAAACCTAGTAGTACTCATTCCCAAATAGTCTAGTACTTATTCTTAAATAACATACCATACATAAAAATCTAAAATTAATCTTGCGGAAGACCAGATTGGAATTAGAACAGATTGAATTAGAGCTTCGCTGGCCAGATCTCGAATGGCGGAATCGCGCGGATCGGAAGAGTCTTCTTCATCGCGGATTGATTTCGCCCGAACCTGCCGCCTTCATTGCAGATACGCGGTCTGGACACAAGTTTTCGTAGTTGCAGAGCTGTTACGGTGACGGAGGAGGGCAGAGAGCAAGATGCTGGAGACGGAGAAGATGAACATGGCGACAAAGACGTTGAGGTGGGCGGCTGATTGAACCCTAATCCTGATCAATTTTAGTCCAACTGTACGGGAAGAACCGTACAACAATATGTACAATATAATTTGCGCTATCACTATTACCAAGTTCTAGGAATAAATAATTTGGAGGAAAGCTAACTTGGAGGAACCTCTTCAAAGCTACCGGATCGATTACACTTACATTCAGGAAAATAACAAGATCAGTATCAAAAGCCAGGTAGAGGAGGATAGTAATAGAATCTCACCGAAATTCCGTAAACGAATTAGGTCATGATAAAAATGAAGTAAGCGTCTCTTTTCAAAGCTCCGTTAACAAATACTCCATCCATTTCTTAAAAAACTTCTTTCTTTTATTTTTTTATTTTCCCTAAAACCCTTTCATTTTTTATTAAAAACCCATTTTTACCTATTTTTTCTTACCTTACCTATCACATCATATTTTTTCACTAATAATCTATCAATCACACCCTACTTTAATCCATCACATTAATGGCAAAATTAAAAAGTCAATCACAAGACTTATTTCTCTTAAAAGTCAAAATAAAAATTGTTTTATGAAATGAGGGAATTACTTTTTGTGAATATGATGAGCACAGAGATTTACAACTTCAAATGATGAAACAAACAACAACAACAACCCAAATAAATCCCACAAGAGTAGGGTCTGGGGAGGGTGTGTGTACGCAGACCTTGCCCCTACTTGAAAGTAGAGAGGCTGTTTCCAAAGAGACCCCCGGCTCAACGTCAAAAGTTGCATTGCTTGACTAACTGCTACTTTATTAATTAAAGAAGCGCAGATAGTTTAGAGATCCATTTTGATTTATTCCATCACACCCCAAAGCCAAAAAATGGTGAAAAGATAAAAAATTTATGTTCTCTGTCATGCCTACACTGGAAAGCAAATGTTATTATAGATGACCGGACACCAACATGGATAAATTTAATGACTTCCAAACTATAAAGCAAATGATGGATTACATTTAATTGTTTAAGTTATTTAAAATTAAAAAAATAAAGTTCTTGAATACTTGTGGGTAGGTATTGCCAATGTTTTATAGTTTGTAGTTTGAGATGACATTGCTGGATTGGATCGTACACATGAGTGCCCCTTCCCCTTATTGTTATCCGTATTGGTTCAAAAGTTATGGTTGACCAAAAACTTAGTGTCAATTAATTAATCTACTCCCTCTGTCCCAAACTATTTGCCATATTTTCTTTTTTAACTGTAGCGGGAACTTTTGTTTATTTCTATGTTTTCATTGGTTATTTGATAAAATAAAATATTCTTGACACCTCTTATTTCGAAGAACTTTTCATGTAGTTTTTTTATATGTAATTTTTATTTTTTATTTCTTTACCAATATGTAAATAAAATGAATTGAAAAAACTTGATATTTTGTCTCGATAATAGAAATGTGACAAATAATTTGGGTCAGAGGGAATATAAAACTAAGAGTTCAATCACTTGTCGACAACAAGAAATAACGGTTACACCCTAAACACACTCCATATAAATTATAAATTAGGGAAGTATAAATTCTAAGACAAATGTTTTTTATATTAAAATTCATGTTGTACTAGTTATCAACTATGAATAATGGAGTCGTAAGTTTATTTTGCGCCTTGTGTTGCTCAAGCGGGTGGTCTCTTGAAACTAGCCTTTACTTTCAAATAGGACTAAAGTTTGCATAGATGCTCTTCAAGACCCCTGAGATTCTAATGGGTTGTTGATTAATAAAATTTATGCATGTCTTCCTTTTCTAATTTTATAATGTTTCAACAACTATTCTTAGATTTTTTACACAAAAAAAGGAATCGATCGGAACCAAACCGACTCCCCCTATTCAGTTTCAATTACATTTCTGAACACTCTTGGAACCGGGAACCGCGAGTTCCAGAATATGATCTGGGCCAAGCAGGCTCGTGCCCATGCATTTGGGGTGGATGTGATTCTATATTGGAATCCGAATCAACCCCCCGGAAGCAATCGAGAGGTCACTTTGGAGAGGGGGGTCTTGGAGATGGTTTATTTTATTCTTTTTTTAACGTGTAATTTTTAAAGCTAATTCACTTGAACATCTAACACTAGATTTGGTTCAATGAATTTAAAAAAAAAGGAGAGAAAACGAGATGCAAAACAATTTGTCTTGTTTAGTTAGGGAGAAAAAAAGGAAAAAAAGAGAAAAAATAAACTAAGAAGATGAAGTGCACGTTTATCAACAACTTCCATGATTAGCTTTTAGCATTTTGTAAATGACGATCTAACGGCAATGTTTAGCTTTAACATTTTCAAAATTAATGTATACCATTTAAAAACTATACAAAATGCTAACACTAAATAAAAACATTCTTCCTAAACAAAGCCGAAAAATAACTTTCCTTCCGTTTTGGTGAGAAAAGGGAGAAAATCACTCCTTTTTTCAGTTCATCTCGCGAAATTCCACAAACCAAAGCATTTACATTTTTAATGCTGATAACAAATCCACGAGAAATTTTTATTAGTAGAATGCATCAATGTTTATAGGTACGTTCACAACACCAAGAATAGGAATATCACAAATAAGTTCAGTGTGGTAATTGATCAGAGAGCCCGGGGCAGGGAACAATCATACCTAACACTGGATGAATTCAAAGGTTCTCTGTCTGTCTGACAAAACACATCAGGCCCTTAGAGAACTATATCCTGAGGGAGAAAGGGAAATACATTAGGTCGAGGGAAAATATAATAACTGATAAGAATCACTAGAGCTATTTTTCGGTGTCTGATTTTTGAAATTCCTCCAGCATCATAGTCTAGCACCATGTTTGGTTCAAGGAATTGCGAAGGAAAAGAAAATAAAAAGAGTTTTCTCATTTTCCTCGCTAGAATGGGAAGAATTTTATTTCCCCTCGTAGTTCACATTACCTTCTTTTTTTTCTTTCCATTTTTCTTTTCTTTTCCTCTCTAACACTATGTTTGGCTCAAAGATTTTGGAAGGAAAAGAAAAGAAAATGGTTTTCTCTCATTTTCCTCACCAAAATGGAAGGAATTTGATTTTCCCTCTACTTGGTACATTTTGCCTTCTCATTTTCTTTTCCTTTCTTTTCCCCTCTAACCAAACAAGAAAAATAGTTTTCCACTTCATTTTCTTTTCTTTTCCCTTTCAAATTCCTTGAACCAAACACAGTGTAAGAAAACATAAAAAAACTGTTTTCGATTTCATTTTCTTTTCTTTTTCCTTTCAAATTCTTTGAACCAAACATAGTATAAAAGTATAAAGAAAGATTTAGTAGGGACAGCATAGTGTTCTATCATTCACTGTGGGCGTTTGTCATCAAGTTTAGGAACAACTTTTGGCTTCTGCTTTTGAAATGCAATGTTGGAGTGTTTACCAATAAGCAAAATTTGAATCCAGCTTATTTTTGCACCAGGCTTGTTCCCCAAACACCGTTTTGGAGAAGCCAGAAATTGTAGCTTGTCTGATCGGATTTTTGCCTTCAGCTCTAATTTTCAAAAAAACTTTTTTCTAAAATTAATGGCAAAAGCCCCCATGATAGTCACCCATCCCTATGAGACCAAGATTCATATTAGTAATTTCAAGCAAACACTAGAATTCAATGGCTAATGGGAAAGAAATATACTAAAAACATGTAATTCTCCTCTACCTGAATCGAGGCTCGCATGGTTTAAAGGCATCTCCGTCTTTACAGAGGAGAGAACGGAAACTTTTCAGTTACACCAGGAAGCCACTGTTTGAAGTATGATTGGCTGTCCGTATCTGCAGGAGACAAGGCCCCGAGAGCACTGACAGTTATCTGCAATAAAACGAACATTTAACCACAATCCTAAATTGCGCTAAATATGCCTGTCATGTCAATAGTTTCATGGATTATGCTATGTGTACCCCAAGGTTTGTACCCCAATTTGTACCCCGCAGTTTTGCACCAACACGTTGTGTTGGTGTAAAACTAATTTTTGTTAAATGCACCAACATTTGTGTCCGTGTGAATTTTTATTAACGCACCAACACTTGTGTCGGTGTAAACCATCGAAATGTTTGTGCAAACCTGTGGTGTACAAATGGGGTATATTTTTTGGTGTAAGTGTAGCATGGTCCTAGTTTCATACGTACATATCCTTGTTGTAGGGAATAGTAATCTGTGTCGCCATCCTCGTCCAGGTGTGATCCCTTCACCTAAAAAAGGACGTAGCAGAAAATTCTAGTAAAAAGGGATGATTCGCTCATAGCCAACTTATAATATATTTCAGTAAATTTGTAGTGTTTGTTATGATATGATATGCCAGAAATACATAAAATTCAAAATACAGCAAAGTGTATTACCCACACTAAACTCAAGTCTGAAAATTTTGGGCACACAATTGAAAACCAATACGTAAGTAAAAAGAACTCTTTCTTCAAAATATATATATGTCAATGCGAAATGAAATTCAGAAAGGGAAAAATGAAAAAATGAAACCGCACTTGTCTCTTGAACATGAGATGGTCTTGTTTCGGATTCAAAGCCTCTGATTCAGAAGATGATGATGAATTTGTGTCCATAGTCATCGTTGATAACATCTTCCCTCCTTGACCATCATGATTAACTTGACTCCACTCCATTTTCGCAAAACTTCTGCCTTGTTTCGTCAGTCGATAACCCTGGTCAAGGGTCACAAAAGTATTCAATAACCTCGGTCAAGTCGAATAGTTAATCAGGGCAGAGCGAGTCTTACCCCAATTTTACAGAGATGCTGTTTCCACTAGACCCTAGATGCATTGCTGCATTTACAACCCAAAACTTCATCGAAAGTAATAGGCAAGGGAAGTATAATGTGCCATTTTGATTTAGCCAATTATGTGCCTAAATCTAAAACATTGTCAATAATGACTTTTTTAGTTTCATTGGCAATGGAGGAAACATCGTTTATTTTGAAAAACATGGAAAACAAAAAAGACATAAAATGAACTCTATGTGTGTGTGTGTGTGAGAGAGAGAGAGAAGAGGTGAAGAGAAACTCTAACGATTCACTCCTTAACTTTTGCAATTGAATTTCGACGAAATAGTCACAAGCAATAAGAGGTAAGGGAATAAGTAATTCCGAGAATTAGCATTGTTGCTAATAAAAAATCAAAATAATCAGAGCAAATAGCTTCAGAGGAGATACAACAAAAGTATTCATTAGAAAGGCCTTCCTTTTACTAGTTCACGAGATGAGAGTAATCAGCAAGTTTTAAACCTTGATGACGTGATCAATGACATTGATGTTGTTGCCAAATAAATCCCAATTTACCTTATGATTCACAACATTGGTGGGGACATCTATATTCAGAAAAGAGTTTTTAGGATAACTTTTCTTCTTGATTTCATCCAGTACAGCAGTAAGGATGGGCAAGCTAGCCTCTGCTGCAAGTGTGAAATCATCAACATTACTCTTCCCTCCAACCCTGGATATAGCAATCAATGTAATGTAGCATTGAATTTCTTTAATAACCAATCATAGAGACAATATAAGATGAGTACTGAATAACTAAAATTCATATTTCCATTTCATCTTTGGTACAAAAGTAAGTCCATTTATCAGAACAATAATTAGGAGATATACATACCAGTCATAAGATATAGAAACAGCGGGTACATCATTAAAAAAAGCTTCACGAGCTCCTGCTACAGTCCCTGAATAAACACTGCATTAAGCAAGAAAGCAGTCAACGGAGGCATCATATATAATGGTTATCAGCAGTTCAGCACAAGACATGATACCTATGCTGCTGAGTCAAAGACAAGCTAAACTAATGCAAATGATAGAATGAAGTCTTTTATGAAGCCTAAATCTACTTTTTCATTACTGGAGGGCATGTCTTCAATAGCAGACCACCACCTAGGCCCTGGCAAGTAAAAAAAAGCTACTTGATAGCTTTTGAGTTAAAGTGTTAAACAAAACAGACCAATAGCCGATGGGTACCCATTTGGGTTCATTTTACTGCACTTCAATACACAAACAATATGCACACATGCAAACAACTGTAGAACATACTTGACAAAAAATTAAACACAATCACGGATCCAGATGTCAAAAAAGCAAAAGTTACTAACATATGATAACCACAGTTGCTACCCATGTTGATGCCACTAATAACCTGCAAAGAAAGAAAGTCAACCAAAGTAAGCAATTCATTTCTTCAGGCATTTAATCATGATTGAAAGCAAGAGAAAATAATGAATACAAATGGAAAATGGGCTAGGAAAACGTAAAAAATGGTGTGATCAGTACTCTATCAAAAGCAATATCAAGTACCAGATCAGGTATTGAAGGGAAAAGAACTCTGGAAATTCCCAAGGATGTACAATCAGCAGGAGTTCCTGTAAATGAAACTATCATTATTATCATATTGACAATAATGTTTAAATAGTACTGGTACTCCCTCCGCCCAAGAAAGATCTTCCCAAATGCCCTTTTTCTTTGACCCGGAAAGATCTTCTCATTACCTTTTTTAACAATTAAAATAACACAACTACCCTCACTTACTTTATTACACCTCACCCATGTCATTTAACATACTCCACCCACTTTCATTAAGGATATTTTAGTAAACTTCCATCTTTTTTCAACTATCCTTAAAAACCGTGAAAAGTAAATATGAGAGCATCTATGGCAGACAAAGGGAGTAATAAAATACATCAACAAACGATAGGATTTAGCTCCTAAATCAGATAAAAGAACTTTCTATGAAATGTGCGGATCAAATCCAATACAGCTTAAAATTTGTGTAATGGAGAGCTGAAATCCCATCACCAGATGTGATATATGTTGATAAACTCCGCTATCAGACAGGTTGCATTGACACTAAATTCAGCAAAATCTAGATGATTGAAACTAAGAAGATTTTGATACTAGACCTCTTCCAAATCCCCACACCACAACATGAGTATTGAAAGCCAAGTTATCAAACATCTTTGCGTATGTATTTAAGTGATATCGTAAACTAACTAGAATTTACTTGAATAACGCTTGGCTAGAATTCAAACCTAGATGTGAGGACGATTTCTCATGAAAATGCTGATTATTATTGTGCGAATCACTGGTTATTTACACAGAGAAGTATTCTAAGATAAATGTTCCAATGCAATTTAATTGAGAAACAACATACATCACAGCTCTTACGAGTTTGACAAAACAAGGACTTGTTGTGCTATTAAAAGAGTGCAGTATCAAAGTGCAACTAAGTCACATCAGAAAAGCATATCAGAGATTGTGAAGTCTAAACAAGGTGGCTGTCCTCATCGCTCGTCATTGAAGCATCACAAGCCATCAAAGGAATAATTGGTCTAGCTAAAGCATGAAACACATATCACCAGATTCATTAATAAGACTGAGCTCAGTCCTATACTTCTTCACATGATTCTTTCTCTTGCACTAATTTCCTGTGTCACTTTTGTTAATTGCTATAAGTGGTCTGCCATCAATTTTATGCAATATAGATGCAAGAAATGCCTAAAGTAAATTAGACCATCAATTGTGATTATTAGTTGAATAAAGTTTCAATAACCAAGTGTACTCTTGACCTTCAATTTGGTTCATTACAAAATAAACACTTTAAGTTATAAGTCAGGAACAACAATTTTACACTAAATAAAAAGATATTTTTTTCTTCCCTGAACTATTTGTCTAATGGAAACTTTCAGGGCCAGCCCAGGGGTAGTTTCTATCATGCAACTGCACCAGGCCCAAAACATTAGAAGGCCCAATTTCCCTAAAAGAAAATTATAGTACGTATAGTAAAACCTTGAAAGAAAAATGACTAAAACATAACGGAACAACAACAACAACTGAGTTGGATCCCACGAAAGTAGGGTCTGAGGAGGGTGTGTGTATGCAGACCTTGCCCCTACTCGAGAGTAGAGAGGCTGTTTCCATCTCACCCCCGGCTCAAGCTGCACATAAAAAAGGTTCACAGTAAATACATAAAACAAGGAAACCACAGATACAACACACCATCAAGTAAAAAATATTGCAAAGTATGGTTCAAAGTCCTTCTCCAACACACCACTCTAAATATATATGGAGTATTATTTGTTTTACAATATGAATTACTCCGCACATTATACTGCAAGGAGCAAAAGGCCCAAAAACTTCATATCTTGCACAAGGCCCCAATTTACTTAGGACCGGCCTTGGTAACTTTTCTATGCAGCTATTGCCTAAGAAAACAATATGGGTCAAGATAAAAGTACAAGTTGTGAATAATTGGATATTGAAAAACATGGAAACTGACCAGAAACTGCAAAAGCTGCTGCTCCACTAAACTCCACAGGCTTAGCAGAAATAGCATTTCTCCATGTGATACTATGACTAACTGCGGACTTTTCACTGGAAACGTAAGAAAAAGAATTAAAGAATTAATATGCTCTCTCATCCAATAACAATTTAGCTAAATAAATTTAACTGCACTACTCTACACTTAAGAACCCTACCAATAAAAGGGACTTACTTAGTTACTTTCACCTATTAATGGGTTTGAGAGTTTGACTCCGCTTTGATTATCTCAAAAAGTCCCAGCCCAGGTTGGGTATGGCCAAACGAGTAGGGGCAAGTGGTGTAAACCAATCTCTAGGTCCAAGCCAATGGTCAGGATTTCTTGCACTGGGGCCACAATGCGGTGGGCCAGCTAACATAAAATGTTTACCCTCCAAAGTTTTAAAAATTGTTGGGGGCATAGATCGGCTAGTGGAGAGGGCAATGCCACAGGTTTGAATCCTAGCAACTACAAAAATGGATAGCATGCTAAGGATGGAATTTTGGCAAGTACTAGGAACAAATCCCACTCTCTCTCAACTACAAAAAAGGATAGCATGCTGAAAAAATTGAACTGCAAATTCATAAGATATAAGCCTACAACATTTAGACTCATAGACAGGGAATTTAATTGATTACTGTAGTAGACATAATGACAGCATCATTTTGCCAACCAAAAGAATAAAGAAAAGCTCCGGAACTATAACCCATTTGCTAAAGATCCTACTTCACCAACTTATTCACTGAAATCATAAATGAAATTGAAGTCGAACTAAAAGAACAAACACTGAACTTCAAAATTGAAAGAGCAAAACAAGAAAACTGTACTCAATATGAAAGCTATAAGTAAGATTTAAGTTCATATCATAAATCATAAAGTAGAAAATTTACACAAAAATGTATAATCCTGAGAACCACATACTTTTATGCATGATGGCTCTAATATATTGGAATTTTCAACATGGCCTTTTGTGCCTTCAAGTGTTCCTCCTCTTTCTTTTATTCCCTATCGTTCTGTTTTGATTAATCAATTGCCACACAATCTTTAAATTTATTTTCCCATTTATTAAATTCAATGGAGGATGCTCAAGCTTCATTTCTTAAAATGCTTTTCCATTCCACAACTTTTTGATTTCGCAGAAATCTCCAAAGATTTACCTTCCAACAATTTAAAATTAAACTAACATAAGTTAAAGTTGTACAGTAAAAATTCAACGTAGTATGCACCATATCTGTACATTGCACTAGTTCGGTTAACTTCTAATGATGAACCAATCAGCAGTAAGAAAAATAAATGCTGACAAAAATCGACAACACCTCAATCAATAATAATCAGTCCCTACCAAGCGCGACAATCTAGATCGAGAACCGGCTAACACACGCACACACTGAAATGTACAAATACAGTTGTATACATACGAGTCAGGGGCGCAAACTAAGACGTTGAATAGATTGGCACCGACGAGAACACGAACAAGTGCTCGGAGACCGGGGGCGTCGATTCCGTCGTCGTTCGTCACCATAACCGTCGGCCGATCGCCGAAAGCGGAGCTCATTCTGATTCGGCAGTTATTTTCAAAATTGGGAAATTTGCAGGAATTGCAGCTAGCAATAATTGGGGGGATTGCAGCTAGGAATTGAAACACACTCTAGTGGTCCCAACTCCCAATAGGAGATAGACTGAGGCGTTTTTGCCACATCATTATTTGTAGGACCTTATTTGTATCTTTGTTTGCTAAATGGATAAGTCTATGGGGACACCGGATATGTACACCGGATGTCCCCCATATACTCCATACCCCCCACACAATCTCCCCTCCCAAAAAAATTCCTTCCACCCAAAAAAAAAAATTCTCTCTCTTTCGCTAGGTTTCCCCCATTTCCCTGCCCCTTCTTGCTTCGCTGCTTCGCCGTCCCTGCGGAGTGTCTTCATCGCGCCGACCCTGCGCCTTGCAGCATCATCCCCTCGGATTGTCGTCATCGTCGTCCCTCGCCGGTGATTGTCTCTCGCAGGGCCGGTGATTGTCTCTCGCAACATCATCACCTTCCAGGTATTATTATGCTGAATTTTCATCTTTTAAGGGCTTAATTACATCAAATTTCTAGCCAAAATGTTAAATTGCAGCGATTAAATACACCAATGAAATGCGTGGTCCGTAGTAGAAGAAATAGGTATTCATATGCAGAATTTTTACGTTTTCATCTTGGATTATGAACCCTAAACTCCTAATTACCGTTATTTATGTTTATGTCAGAAAAATGGTAAATGTATGTGAACTGCTATTCACAGACGCGGAATATCTATTTTCTGTTTACAGTTCTTCCCTGCTTTGTATCATCTTTTATCTGTCTCAGTTATTACTTTTTGATAATCTATTATGAACCCTAAGTTGTGAATAATCTTTATTCCATGTTTAGTTTTTTAAAAAATGGCAAATGTATGTGAAATGCAACTCACAGACGCAGAATGTATGTGTTCAGTGTTACTTCCTTACGTGCTTCGTATTATGTTTTTGCCCATTTATTATTATCATATCTCTAATAAAAGTACTACGCTAAGGTTATTAGTTTTCTTTGCTCTCTTATATCCGGTCACTATGGCAATGACGGATGTTTATTTTGTAGGTAGAATAAAATGGCACTTATGGTTCCCACCAAAGATCACTTCCCTGTGCAGTATTCGGTGTGTGGAGAACTAGAAGATGCAGTGGCCATAGTTAGAAGCAAATTGAGTGTAGAGAATATGGTGAACTTTCGAAAATTGCCATTCGGTCATTTCATGGATGTGCGGAAGCTCCAATTTTCTGGACAACTCATCCATATCCTTATGCTACATCTCGTCCGCGAACAACCTGAAGACGAGATGTGGTTTATGATCAATGGTACTCTTNAATAAAATGGCACTTATGGTTCCCACCAAAGATCACTTCCCTGCGCAGTATTCGGTGTGTGGAGAACTAGAAGATGCAGTGGCCATAGTTAGAAGCAAATTGAGTGTAGAGAATATGGTGAACTTTCGAAAATTGCCATTCGGTCATTTCATGGATGTGCGGAAGCTCCAATTTTCTGGACAACTCATCCATATCCTTATGCTACATCTCGTCCGCGAACAACCTGAAGACGAGATGTGGTTTATGATCAATGGTACTCTTAAGAAGTTCACTTTTGAAGATTTCTGTCGAATCACAAGTTTGCCGACTTCCAAGTCATATCCAAATTTTAGCAATGTGAAGTCTTCGTCAGAGACTATTCACAAGAAGTATCTTGGGGGGGGAACGGTGAAATGCACCTTCGCGCACTTGCGGAATATGTTTATGACTGCGGAGGAAGATGTACCCGGCAGTGATTTACATAAGCTTGCCTCATTGTATTTTGTTGAGCATGTGCTGTTAGCAAAAGATAGAGGTACATGCATTGATGCCTCCCACCTCGAAGCAGTTGATGACCCTGACGTGTTCAATGCATATCCTTGGGCTTGGGAGTCATACCTCTTGACGGTGCGGCATCTGAAGGGGATGATGGATGGCCAACCGGAGAAATTTCTAGAAAAGAAAAATAACAACTCCAATTTGAAGTCTTGGAAATATGCGTTGTATGGATTTCCACTTGTTTTGCAGGTAAGTTTAATTTATATTTCTTCTTCTACATATTTTTATATGATGGTTCATAAAAAGTATTGATTTCCACACTGTCTTGTTTTCTCAGATTTCAGGATATTTATAAAACAGACACTTCTATGCTAGGAGATGGAAAACACTAACACTTCTCACCTAGGATCTGAATAAAACAGACACATCTGTTTGTGTATATTTATAAAACAGAATAAAAAATCTGTCTGCCATGAATAATACAGACACATCATCTGTCTGACATGAATAAAATAGACACATTTTGTGAACTTTTGTAACATGTATAATTTAAAGTATACATTTCCATGTGTTTTATTTTCTCAGATTTGGGCTTATGAGACGTTTCCAGTGCTTGACGACGAGGTTGCTCAGTGTAATCGAGCGATAAAATGTCCACTGTTACGTTGGGGAGCCAAGAAATGCCCACAGTACCACTCTCTAAAGCAGTTGTTATTCCCTAATGAACCTGAAGAAGTCGCAAATAAGATGGTATCATAGTTGAGAATTTGATAAAAGCATCATTACCATATCCTTGATGTATTTTTGATTTTTTACTAACTTATTTCCTTAAATTGTTTTAGGAAAACACACTTGATTTGTTGTTTAGAAGTGTTGAAGATTTAAAGAACACTCTAAACAAAAGGATTGATGCTTTGGAGGATAAAAGTGATGGTTTGTGTTGTGACGTGAAGGATATGTTCACAGTTGATGGCAGGAAAAAGAAGGGGGCGGTAGACCATGTGACGAGGGTTGAACGAAGGAAAAGGAAGGAGATTGGAAAGGAAGTATTGAGCGTTCAAGGGAGAAAAAGGAAGAGGATGGGTGCTCACTATCGAGGGAAGAAAAAGAAGGCTGATCAATGTGAAGAAGAAGAAGAAGCGGTAGAGGAAAAAGTAGAAGAAGAAGAGGAAGAAGGGGAAGAAGAAGAAGAAGGTGAAGAAGAAGAAGGTGAAGAAGAAGAAGAAGAAGAAGAAGGTACCCAACGTTCTTTTTCTAGAAATAAGCCCGCTAGCCAGGAGTTATCTTCTAGTTCATATTTTGCAATCATATCTTTCCAAGCTTGATCAAATTTCTTTGTTTCGAAGATATCAAAAACAGTGTTATTAAATCTCCAAAGTATTTTGTCCTTATCCTCATGCCCGTTAAACTTTTGCGGTGCTTTCTTCATTATATGCCACAAACACCACCGATGTCTAGTACTCGGGAACACAATTTCAATTGCACTTTTCATCGACCTGTCTTGGTCTGTTATGATACCACGTGGTGGTATTCCATCCATGCACTTGAGCCATGTTTGAAATAACCACACAAAAGATTCTGTCTCTTCGCAACAAACTAAGCCACAACCTAGAAGTATTGATTGACCATGGTGGTTAACACCCACAAACGGTGCGAACGACATATCGTACTTGTTCGTGAGGTATGTCGTATCGAATGTCATAACGTCTCCGTAGTACTTGTATGCAAGACGAGACCTCTTATCTGCCCAAAATAGGTTTTTTAACTTTGAGTCCTCATCAAGGTCCATGCTAAAAAAAACCCGTCACTTTTAGCTTGCATTGTACAAAAGTATGCTTGTATGGCCATGGCATCCCCTGCACAAAGCTTCACCCTTCGCACTTGCTCTACGTAGTTCCTACAATCCTTTTCAATAAAGGACAATTTATCGTACCCTCCTGCTTCAACCACTGTTGAGTTAAAGCTCTTGTGAAGGGGGATTCCTGCTGTATCATTCACCACGAGCCTTCTTTTTATGTGGTCAGGCAACTTCCTGTTACAACGCCACAAGCGTGACTTTGATGGACTAATGTCATGATTATGTTCCAAATTCGCCACAGTAATAGTAAACACACCTTCATCATCACATGTTGCCGTAATTCGGGCTGTGCAACCACAATTGGATCGGGCTTGTGGCTTTAGACAATTCTTAGATCGGCTCACCCTATTACCTTCTCTACCACATGAGATTGTGATAGAACGTATTGTTCCATAACATCCCCTCCTCAAACTTCTCTTTTTAATGGGAAACCCCATTCCCTTTGCATAAGTATGGTAGAATTCATATATGGCATCATAATTCGAAAACTTCATCCCAACATCAGGGACAAGGCTTACAGGGACTGGGAGTTCA